CCCCCCCCCCCGCCCCACCCCTAGCCTTTCCCTCTCCTATTTGTACGGTACAAGCAATAAATTTCAGACCAGGGCCTCGCCTGCATTCTATGGACATTGCCCCAGACTTTCAACCACTGTGGGGTTGGTCCCTGGGTTTCACACACCTGCAATGTTGCTGTTTTGGAGCCCTGCAGAAAGCTAGGCAGGTGGAGGGGGCAAGTCTGGGCTAGTGCGGTTGGGGTGAGTAGAGGGGGACAGAGCAGGAGGTTGTGGGGAGCAGCCAGTGTGGTATGTGGCTGGTGCTGGTAGGGGCACTGCTGCCTCAACCCCTGTGCCCCACTTGTGGTACAGCAAGAAGCCATGAGACCCCACATTTCACCACCAAGACTGGTGTCTCAGTATGTCAGATGGAGGACCTGGAAAGACCAAGAGCTCAGGGGTGCAAGGCACTGGAGTCCAGATTCCAAACCAGAACCAGAAAGCCATCTCTGATGGGGTGCATCTAATGGGCACAGGAGACAACAGAGAAACATGAGAACAAAGCTGACCATCTGTGCAACCTAAGAGAATGCTACTGGGAATTGCCCAAAGTATGAAATGCAAAGTCTGCCCTAGGCAGTAGAAATGAGGAGAGCAGATGGAGGCCACGCCCTCCCCTGGGGTGTGGCTGGTGCTGACTATGGCTTACAGGATGACCAAAGGGAGGGGCGTGTACTAGAGAAGACACCTGCCGTAGTGGCTAGGACAACCCTCAGAAAGGCACACGTGACAAAGGCTGGCCCCAGCTGGGGGCACTGGTGACAGGTGGCTGGATCATGGGGATGTGCTTTCTTAATTGATGACTATCTTGAGTTGGTTGCTGATGGGGCTACTAAGGACTTGGAGAGAGCTCAATGGACAGCATGCCTTTGAAGGGCCTATGATGTCCCAGGCCTTTCCCAGCTGCTTCCTGATCCAAGAGGCGGGCAGCTCAGCTATCCCTACCCCGCCCTGAAGCCTTCATCTCAGGCCTATTTCCACCAGCAGTTCCAAGATAGCCCAGGCAGGAAAGTCTGAGAGATTCCATCTCTAAAACAGTTCTACAAAAAGCTGTGCTGGTAGCATGGCTTAAGTGGCAAAGTGCCAGCCATGGGCCCACAATCCCAAGTAAGTTTGAAGGCTTAAGTTAAAACTTGAGTACTAGCAGGGCATCGGTGGCTCACGCCTGTAACCCTAGCTACTCAGGAGGCTGAGATCTGAGGATCGCGGTTCAAAGCCAGCCCAGGCAGGAAAGTCCACAAAAAAATCAAGAACTCAGTCACCCAGTCAGGAATTGGAAGATAAAGCAGAGGAATTACATCAAAGACACTTGAGGAGAAAAATACAAAGGGAAATTTAAAAGCCTCTGGGAGATCCTCAAAAGACTAATACTAGCTGGGCACTTATAATCCTTGTTACTCAGGATGCTGAGCTCAGGATCAAGGTTCGAAGCAGGCCCAGGCAGGAAAGTCTGTGAGGCTCTTCCAATAAACTCAGGAAAAGCCAGAAGTGGTGGTATGGCTCAAGTGATAGACCACTAGACTTCAGCACAAGAGGCTCAGGGACAACGCCCAGAGTTCAAGCCTCAGGAGCGGGGGAGGGAGGGGGGGGAACGGGGGGTGGGGAGTGCTGGAAAGACCAAAGGTATAGATATACTATTAATAAAATAATAGAGAGGGCTGGGAAGGTGGCTCAGTGGTAGAGTGCTTGCCTTGCATGCATGAGGCCCTGGGTTCGATTCCTCAGCACCACATAAGCAAAAAGAAAAAAGCTGGAAGTGGCGCTGTGGCTCAAGTGGTAGAGCGCTAGCCTTGAGCTGAAGAGCTGAGGGACAGTGCCCAGGCCCAGAGTTCAGGCCCCAGGACCAGACCCCCAAAAAATAAAAATAAAAGAGACCAGGCACCAGTGGCTCATGCCTGTAATCCTAGCTACTAAAGAGGCTGAGATCTGAGGATTGCAGTTCAAAGTCAGCCTGGGCAAGAAAGTCAGCGAGACTCTTATCTCCAATATAAAGGACTTAGAAAACTGGAAGTGGTGCTGTGGCTCAAGTGGTAGAGCACTAGCCTTGAAGAGCTGAGGGACAGCATCCAGTCCCAGAGTTCAAGCCCCATGACCAACAAAAAATAATAGAAAATATTCCCTAACCATGAGAAGTTCATGCAAGTACAGGAGGCTCAAAACCAAACAGGCAAGATGAAAGGAACACCCCTGGACTTACAGTTAAAGCAATATACAGATCAAAGAATACTGAAATCTATGAAAGGAAAGTAACAAGTCACATATGAGTGCAAACCTATTAGAATAACACACCCTCTAAAGGCAGGGAGGCATGGAAGGACATACACCATGAAAGATAAGAATTGTCTATCAAGTGTGCCCATCAAAGCTATTCCTCATAGTTGAGAGAGAAAAAACTTCCACAATAAACACAAGTTAATGGGCCTCAGGACCACAAAACCAGCCTTGCAGAAGTACTTATAGGGATTCTATATACAGAAGACAAATGAAACAGTGGGACACCTATGCTTCATACCTGTCATCCTAGCTACTCAGAAGGCCGAGATCTGAGGATCACCGTTTGGAGCCAGCATAGGCAAGAAAGTCTGTGAGACTCTTACTCCAATGAACCACCCAAAAGCCAAAAGTGGAGCTATGACTCAAGTGGTAGAGCACTAGCTTTGGGGGGGGGGACTCAGGGAGAGAGCCCAGGACCTGAGTTCAAGCTGCAGGACAGGTGTGAGTGCATGTGTGCACACAGAAAAGACAAAACAGGAAAGGATAATAAACCCCACTAGACAAATCACGATTCTCAGATCTCAGCCTCCTGAGTAGCTGGGATTACAGGTGTGAGGCACAGCCAACCTTTCACCTTCCATTTACACCTGCCCAGGATTAGGGAGCTTGGCAAACTCGGAGTGCGCAGGCGTCCAGGTGCATTCAAAGCGCTTGCAGCTGCCCCTTCTCTCCAGCTGGAAGCTGCCTCCTTGGTCTAAGCTAGTGGAGGATGCAGGTGAGAGGCCTGGACCCCAGTGCCAGCCTCCATCCCTGGGCCTCTCCAGGCACTACCCCTCAGCCTCTGTCCATTTCAGGGTCCCAACCCAAAGCCAAGCACCTCAGTTCCCAGTGGTATGGCCGTGGATAAGAGAGTCTCCCCAGGACTCCCAGAGAAGCCTCAGGATCTGGGTACAGGGCTGGAGGAGGCTCTCAGCACACTGGGGCTGGAGGGAGAACGCGAGTACGCTGGGGACATCTTTGCTGAGGTCATGGTGAGCACCTAGAACAGCTAAGGGGGGCTTGGGTGGGTGAGGCCAGCATGGGCCAGTCTCCCCTCTTGCCTGTGTGCAGCCATTCCTTGGGGATTTCACAGTCCTTTGTATTTGTGCCTTGCATTTATAATTAACGTGTGTGTGTGAACATGCACCCACGCACTGCTACTGGGGTTTGAACTCAGGGCCTCATGCTCTTCTTTAGCTTTTTCTGCTTAAGACTAGTGGCCTAGCCACAACTCCATTTCCTGGCTTTTTTTGGTGGGGGGGTTGTTACTTAGAGATAAGAGCCTCACAGGCTTTCATACCTGGGATGGTTTTGAACTGAGATCCTCAGATTTCGGCTTCTTTTTTTTTTTTTTTTGGTCAGTCATGGGGCTTGAACTCTGGGCTTGGGCGCTAACACTCAGCTCTTCAGCTCAAGGTGAGCACTCTACCGCTTAAGCCATAGCACCACTTCTGGTTTTCTAGTGGTTTGTTGGAGATAAGAGTCTCATGGACTTTCCTTGCCCGGGCTGGCTTTGAACCGTGATCCTCAGATCTCAGCCTCCTCAGTAGCTAGGATTACAGGCGTGAGCCACCGGCGTCTGGCAGATCTCAGCCTCTTGTGTAGTTAGGATTATGGGCATGAGCCACCAGCCTGGCAGACTGTATTCACTAAGGAATGCAAAGTGAGATGGTGATGGGGTGTAGTGCATGGGGAGGGGGAGGGGAGAGGGGGGAAACGGACTTCTGGAATGACCAAGAAGGCAATGCAAGGAGGGGGGGGGGGGCAGGGACCGTTTCACGAAGAAGGAATGGTAAGTACAAAGGTCCTGAGGTAGGAGTGAGTTTGGCATAGCCAAAGGGTGGTTAAAATGTGGAAGAGAGGAAGGAGGTGACGTAGGATCAAGAATAAACTGGTTTTGTTTCCTCCCGCCCTAAGGAGGGGTACAGAGAGTCGTTGGACGTTCTAAGCTGGGGGGTTCCTTGGTCAGATTTTCAGTTTGGATAGATCCATGCTTCTAGATGTTCTGAAGGAGTAGATGGTTGACTGTGGAGTCTGTGAACCTGAGGAAAATGGCCGTGTGCAAGGCCATGGAGGTTCCACACGAGAAAAGGGGGTTAGGAATAATCTAGAACGAAGTCCAGGGTACTAGCGGGGGGACTCAGAAGAGGAGCTCTACTGGAGGTTAGTTTGGAGTGTGACACCCCTGTGGAGTCCAACTCACCCCAGGCGTCCGCGGCGTCCGAGGTCTGGAGCTCAGGCAAGTCCGAAGGACAGGTGTGGAGAATAAGGCCGCGCTCGCCCCGCCGCAGGTGTGCGGCGCGCTGCCCCGGAGGGCCTTGCCCCGCACCGTCACCCCGGAGATGCGCGCGCTGGTGGTGGACTGGCTGGTCCAGGTGCACGTACGTAACCGTCCCGTCCCGGGGGGAAGGGGGCAAAGCCGAACCCGTGTCCGCCGCCTGGGACCCTGGTGGTCACCCCGTGCCTCTTGCCAGGAATACCTGAGCCTGGCGGGGGACACGCTTTACCTGGCCGTGCACCTGCTCGATTCCTACCTGCACACGGGCCGAGTGCGCCTGCGCCGCTTGCAGCTGCTGGGCGTGGCCTGTCTGTTCCTGGCGTGCAAAATAGAAGAGTGCGTGCTCCCGGAGGTATTTCCGGGGCGGGACGGCGGGGGCGGGACCAAGGGCGGGGCCTGGAGGGGGCGGGGCTGGGAAGGGCGGGGCTCTGGGCTGCAGTCGCTGGTTGAATATGCCTGGTGGGGAAGGGACTGCTAATGTGTCCCTCCAAGAGAGGGGGAGACTGACTCTCGCAGAGAGAATGGCATGTGCACTTGGGAGTGGAGCCCATCTCGAGTAGTTTAAGGTCAGCCTCTTGGGTGGAGAAATGAAGGCAGAGAGGTTCAGTGACTGTCCCATACCACTCAGCGACTTAGTGCTGGGGAATGAGCCCCGGTCTGCCCATCTTCCAGATTTAAAAGTCAGGTGCCCCATTTTACAGACCAGGAAACTGAAGTTTCCATCCCAGACACTCCAGGACAGGGAGTCCAAGGCGACCTCCACAGTTTTCCCTCACACTCTCACCCTGCAGCCTGCTTTCCTCTGTCTCCTGAGTGCTGGCTCCTTCTCTCGGGTGGAGCTGCTGCGCGCCGAGCGCCGCATCCTGAACCGCTTGGATTTTCGGCTGCATCATCCGGGTCCCTTGCTGTGCCTTCACCTGCTTGCTGCGCTCGCCAGGACAAACGCCCAGGTGCTCTTAGATAGGGGCGTGGCCCTCGCGATGGGCGTGGCCCGTCCGGGATAGGCGTGGCCAGCATGTTGTAGGCCAGGCCTGCACTGGGCATGCTCCAGCCGTGCTTTGTGGGCGTGGTCCTTGCGTAATAGGGCGTGTCCTTGCAGTGAGCAGGGTCTGCGTGGTGGGCATGAGGGCGTGGTCTGATATTCCTCCTCGGTAGGTGAAGCGTCTTGCTACCTACTTCCTGGAGCTGTCCTTGCTGGAGGCTGAGGCCGCGGGATGGGAAGCTGGGCGTCGGGCTGCTACAGCTCTGAACTTGGCCTACCGCGTGCTGGAAGGGGCAGGCTCCAGACCTGTACCTGCGCTTTACAGGTATGGTCTTGATGGAGGGCCTGTGCTGCTCCAAGAGCGTCCCCTCTGTCCCCTTCTAGTCAGAGAAAAACAATTGTAGGTGTGTGTGTGTGTGTGTGTGTGTGTGTGTGTGTGTGACTAGACTGATATTTCTGAGTGTGGGAGAGAATTGGATCTCATTAGGAAGATCCCATTCGTTTTCTCAGAGGAAGGGTAAGAATGAGGGTGTTTGGGGCTGGGAAGGTGGCTCAGTGGTAGAGTGTTTGCCTTGCATGCATGAGGCCCTGGGTTTGATTCCTCAGCACCATATGAGCAGAAAAAGCCGGAAGTGGCTCTGTGGCTCAAGTGGTAGAGTGCTAGCCTTGAGCTGAAGAGCTGAGGGACAGCACCCACCCAGGCCCAGAGTTCAGGCCCCACGACCAAAAAAAGAAAGAAAAAAAAAGGAATGAGGGTGTTTGTACAAACCTGGGGACTCCAGTTCAGCTCAGGGTGGAAGATTGGATCTCCCAGGGTTGGAAGATGCTGTGTTCCAAATTTGAGAAGGATCTGCCAGGCCTGTGTCCCCCAGCTCCATGACTGTGCTCGGCTGGGGTGTCGCTTTAGCTGGTTGAGCCAGTGACTCCATCCCGTTAGCCACATCGCCAGATTGCAAACGAATCAACTTGTCCTTCAGCTGGTGCCTCTTTTCTCTCCCCTCGGGGTTTGGCTCCCCTCCTACTAGTCCTTAGTTTCTCCATTTCCCATTGCAGCCCTGCAGAGCTGGACCCCCTTGAGCCCTGCATGGTTCGAGCCGCGCTCCGAGGTCCTGCGCCAGGGCGTGCTGCTGTGTTCCTCAAGTACGCGAGGCCCCAGCACCAGGGCACCAGCCTCACCGCCGCCCGACTCCTCCGGGGTCTCCAGCCTGCGGCTCCCAGAACACCGTGAAACGCGAACAACCAACCAGAAACCCCAATGCGTGCGCCTCCCTCCCGTCTGGAAGAGGTTTATTTTATTCTGAGCGCTCTCTGTTCTCATTGGTGACATCGTAGTCCCGCTCTCGGTTTTGATTGGTCCTTTCCTAAGCCTCTCATCTCTGATTGGATATTCTTACCAAGGCCATTTATTAAGGGAAATTTAAAACTCTTCCAAGAGGGGGCGCTGGCGGACTTCCCCAGCATGGCTCGTCAAGATGAATGAGAAATTTCAAAGGATGGGAATTTGTGGGGAAGTCAGGGGTTCCCGCTGAGTTATGAGGAATGCTAGCTTAACCTTGCCAGCTTTTCTGATTTTACTCAGGCACATCTGAAGGTCTGCAATTTCGTAAACACTGTATTAATACTTCACCTAATTCAATATTTTTAATGATTGCACAAGATCATCAGTTTGTAAGTCTTTGATAGGAAGTTCAATAAATGAAGTCTGATGTACTTAACTCCTGAAGTGCCACAGTGACGATAAGTATACCAGCAACCTCATGGTGGTGGAGAGGGTGTAGTTTTTAGTTTATTATCCTTTTTGTTATTTGTATAAATTTGTTGTGAAGGGGAAGGTTTTGCTGTGACAGTTCCATACATGCATATGGAAGTTGGCTCATTGGTAGAGTGCTTTCCTCCCATGCATGAGGCCCTGGGTTCGATTCCTCAGCACCACATAAGCAGAAAAAAGCCAGAAGTGGCGCTGTGGCTCAAGTGGTAGAGCGCTAGCTTTGAGCTAAAGAGCTGAGGGACAGCACCCAGGCCCAGAGTTCAGACCCAACAACCAGACCCCCCCCCCAAAAAATACAAGGTATGATCAAACTTTTTATTGTCTTTCCTTCAAAGGTGTGATTTACTATGCTTATAAAATTTTTAAGACAACACTGACACCTAGTAGGTGTAAAAAATGTCAGCATCGCATCCAATAGGACTGTGAGTGAGGTACAGTTGTCCTTGTTCACAAGGTGCTCCAGAATCTTATCATTCACTAGGTTAAAAGAACAATGATTGCTGATTCATCTCCAAAATAACCAGAAAAAGTAAGGCTGGAGGTGTGGTTCAAATGGTAGAGTACCAGTCTAGCAAACAAGTTGATAGTACAAAGCCCTGAGTTCAAGCCATAGTACTAACCTACTTTTTTTTTTATGGATTTTTACTTATTTTTTCCTCAGTAGATTTCTTGTTTGCTTTTTCTTTCTTTTTTTCTTGCTTGTTGTTGGGTTTGTTTGGGGTTTTTTTTTTTGAGGTTTTGCTATGTATCTAGCCTGGTTTTGAACTTGATATCCTTCTGCTTCAGCCTCTAGAGTGCTAGAATTACAACCACACCCAGCCTATAGTGTTCATTAAGAAAACAAACTCCAGCTGGGCACTGGTGGCTCACACCTGTAATCCTAGCTACTCTAGAAGATAAGAATCCTGGTTCAAAGCCAGCCCAGGCAGGAAAGTCCATGAGACTTTTTTTTGTTGTTTTTGTTGGTCATGGGGCCTGAACTCTGGACCTGGGCACTGTCCCTCAGCTCTTCAGATCAAGGCTAGTGCTCTACCACTTGAGCCATAGCGCCACTTCCAGCTTTTTCTTCTTATATGGTGCTGAGGAATCCACCCCAGGGCCTCATGCATGCAAGGCAAGCGCTCTACCACTGAGCCACCTTCCCAGCCCCTCCATGAGACTCTTATCTCCAATTAACCACCAGAAAACCAGAAGTGGCGCTGTGGTTCAAGTGGTAGAGTGCTTGCCTTGAGCTGAAGAGCTCGGGGACAGCGCCCAGGCCCAGAGTTCAAGCCCCAAGACCAAAAAGAAAAAAGAAAAGAAAACAAGAAAATAATCTCCAGCACTACTGAGATTATGAAGGGTGAATGCAGCATTTGGGAATTCAAACTCAGGAATAAGGGGGTTTGAAGTTGGACCCTAAGGATGAGGGAGAGAGTCATATTTTTCTTTTTCTTTCTTTCATTCTTTTTTGTTGTTGTTGTTGTTGTTTTTGGTGGTGGTGGTGGTCGTGGGGCTTGAACTCTGGACCTGGGAGCTGTCCATGAGCTCTTTAGCTCAAGGCAAGCGCTCCACCACTTGAGCCACAGTGCCACTTCTAGTTTTCTGGTGGTTAATTGGAGATAAGAATCTCACAGACATTCCTGCCAGGGCTGGCTTTGAACTGCAATCCTCAGGTCTCAGTCTCCTGAGTAGCTAGGATTACAGGCGTGAGCCACTGGTGCCTGGTGAGTCATACTTCTTTTTGGCAGTACTGGGGTTTGAACCGAGGGCCTTGTGTTTGCTAGGCAGGAGGTCTACCACTTGAGCTATGCTCCTCCTTACTCTTTTTTGGGTTAGTTATTTTTCAGGGAGAGTATCCCTCCCCTACCCCAGGGCAGGCCTCAGCCCAAGATCCTCCTACCTATGCATTTGGAGTGGCTGGGATTACAATCATGCACCACCTTGCACTACTTGTTTGTTGCAGTGGGGTCCCCTTAAGTTTTGTTCTGGGTTGATGACATTTCCTCATTTGGATATCTTTTAAAAAAAATTATTGTGCTGCTAACTCTGATTCTCCCACTGTGTCATAAGCTTCCGGAGGGCAATAAGATATCTCCTGATTGCAGAGTCACCCCCCTCCTCCAGGATGCCTTCCCTTACCCCCTTGGCCAAGGGCCTCCCTCCGATATTTCCAGAACAGAGCTGGGCACAGAGATCAGTGATAATTTGTTGCCTACATAAAAAGGAAACATACCCAAAGTAGATACTGTTTCATGTTGCTGGATACCGAGTTCTAGGGTAATTTCAGTGACCGGTCCAAGTCATATCCAAGCGAGAAAGTAACATTTTATTTGAGTAATGTAAATGTGTGGGGCTTGAGCTCATATCCTGTCTCATCCAAAGTACCAAATAGCTAGCGGGCTAAACCCAGCCTTCCTGCTCTTTTCCCCCCCGCGCTCATCCTTTTCTTCCAAAAACCTTAGGACGTAGGGGAGTGGAGAGCAGACAGGAGGGTGGGGAGGGTCAGGGGAGTGGGAACGAGGGAGAGGCGGCTAGAGGACCACGACAGGGGCAGACTGGAAGGTGAGCGAGGTGGGGGAGTCTTTTCTCTAGACCCATAGGGGGCAGCCAGAGTCGGCAGCCGGGAGGTGCGGGGGCGGAGAAAGGGTGGGGACCGGCCCCGCGGGGGGCGATGCGGTAGCTGCAGCGGCGGCCGCAGGAGTTTCCCACAATGCAGCGCGGCGCGCTGTCCCCGGTGCTGATGCTCAGCGCTGCCCCGGAGCCTCCACCGCGCCCGTCTCCCGCCCTCTCCCCGCCGGGCCCCGGCCCAGGTCCCCGCCATGGCTCAGCTCGGCCAGGTCCGGCCCCAGAACCGTCGGGGGGCCTGGCTGCGGCGCTCGACAGCAGCCTACGGGCCGCCGTGGCGTTCAAGGCAGAGGGCCAGCGCTGCTACCGGGAGAAGAAGTTCCGGGAAGCCATCGGCAAGTATCACCGGGCACTGCTGCAGCTGAAGGCGGCGCAGGGGGCTCGCCCTGGCCTGCCCGCCCCGGCCCC